TGTGTGTGTGTGTGTGTGTGTGTGTATGTGTGTGTGTCTGTGAGTGTATGTATGTGTATGTGTGTGTGAGAGAGAGAGAAGAAAAAATCAAAAGAGAGACAAATGAAAAGGTAAGAAAAGGTAACCAGACGACGACTGGATATCAGAAGACTTGAAGATAAAGTCTGTCTTTGCATATTGTGTCCTGTTTGTAAGGATAGTATCGGGGGTGGGGTGGTAGTAGGGTTTGTTGTTCCTTGCTTGGTCAAATTACGCTCAAAAGGAAACGAGGCAGGACTTATTTCTGATATAATACTTGTCGAGTTCCAGGTCCCGGGGAACTGCTCTGTTTTTGAGAGTGAGGAGGATGAGGGGTGAAAAGGACTTACATAAGCAGAAGGAAGATCACAAGGAGGTAGTTAGTGATTACAGACACACCGAGCCAATAGCTAAGTTCTCTGCCAAAAATTTAGTGACCACTGATGAACCTTCTCTCCCCCCTCACCCCCCCCCCTCGTTTTCCCTTTCTCATACGACCCTCATTTCCATACATACACAAACCGCCCGAAGCACATGCATAATACTGATAAGAGCAAAACTCACGTAATAATGTATTAGGAGCAAGGCGTGAGCTAACAGAGGGAGATAAGTGCAAATCTAGTTGGTAGCCCCCCCCCCCTCCTCTCGCCCAATCTTTCCCCCTACCCCAGAAATAATTATACTGTACTAACGCAAAAGGTATGTTCACTTCCCGGTAAAAACCCCTGGTGTTCTATACAGATTTTCAAATTCCATTAATTTGTTCACATCAAAGTTTTCTCTTTCCACGTGTGACTATTTGTAGCGTTCCCACGGGGAACCTATTTTGAAACATGGACAGCCTGGGCTTGGTTTCAGTTGCAGATTTAAACCTGTGGTGAAGTATACATCGGAGTTCTCTCCCACAGGCCTACATTAAAAGCAGCGCCATAATGGGGTTAGCATTTATTTATAAAATTAGATTCGAATAAAACACAACAACAAAATATATTGGTCAGGCTATGTTGAGGCACATAAGGCATACGACCCATCGTACGGTATCTCAGCTTTATGCGATGATTATGAAATAAAAATGACGCCATTTCCTTTATTGTAACTTCAACGAAAGTCGGCCAGTGGACAACCCAGAGATCTTACTACTATGACGTCAAGATACAGAGACCACTTTGAGTCTGCCTTAGTTTCATTTTGATTGCAACGAAAACTTCTCTAGAATTTAAATGAAGCGCACTAGGTCTTATTAAAAAAACACCAAACAAACAAGGTTTCTGTCTTTTAATTAAGAGTTAGACAGGTCTTTAGGCGTCTAATTGATTTGGTGTTAATGACCGTTTACTGGAAAGGAAATTAACTTTACGATGCGACAAATTTAAACGCAAACTTTAAAAAGCACACCCAAAAAGCACTGACATTGATTACGTGAAGTTTTTATTGGCCCATTTCCTCTTTATGTCTGTATGTATTAGTATTATATATATATATCGGCCGTGTTTAGTTTTACTCCTTATATCTAAAGTATATATATATATATATATGTATATATATATATACATTTGGGTAACTGTATGTGTATGTGTGTATATATATATTGTGTGTGTGTTATGTGTGTGTGTGTGTGTGTGTGTGTGTGTGTGTGTGTGTGTGTGTGTGTGTGTGTGTGTGTGTGTGTGTGTGTGTGTGTGTGTGTGTGTGTGTGTGTGTGTGTGTTTGTGTTTGTGTGTGTGTACATTTTGTAAACTGAAAAACTGCAGAAAGCGATGATTTTAAAACGTTGGTACATTTTTCAGTATGGAGTATGGTAAGTCGGTGGTGGAAGACAATGCAAACGGTGTCAAGAGGGGGACAAACGATGACGACATACAAGATCGAAAGGAATATGTACAGGGTTGGAAAGAGTCCATTGAAGCATGCACATGCAGGAAAAAACCCGAGCTGTTGGCAAAACCACAGGAAACCTCCACGCTACCGTGCAACTAAATTAAATAGAGTACGAAACGTTAAGCCAAGTTAGAAAATATAGCAGCACTTTGGAGGATCTGCTATTTGTTGGCCGATATACTGTAAATCTAGCTTTGCGGTACTTTCAGCGCGGGTGTTTGTTATGGCGCGCTGCTATCTGCAAATCGCTTCATTGATGGGATTTGACCTGATTTTACTTAGCTTTCTGTGAACGTGTCGTGTAGGTTTACATTAGAAGGAGAAAATACTCCAGCATGATGTGATCAAACCTCGGAGTCTCGTGGGTCTGGCATGTTGAGAATATCATATATGCAAAAGTAAGATTAAAATAAGGGCATTATCGGTTTCTGATAGGAAAAGGTGTTGGTGTATGCTACACGCCATCACGTTACATGGAGAAATATATACAGTGAATATATTTAGTTGCGTGCAACCTGTAAACAAAGTTCTACATAGACGAGCAAGGGCTGCGTGCAGAGCAGTGAGTTATCAGTTGCCAAACAACAAAAGCCAGCGGCTAAATCAAACAAACGAGGTCGTCATCTTACGATGTAATCGAATATCGGTGGTTCCGATAACCATAGAGAGTCATCGAGTCGGCTGCTATGCTGTAGTAAAAAGACAGAATGTTTTATGTATCCATAGTAATCACGGGATGTAATGGCTGTGGTCAAACGATAAATGTTAGGGAAGGAAATGTTCATTAAGCAGTAACGTTCATCCAGCAAAAATTGTGGGAAGACAAACGGTTTAAGATATTAATCTAAGAAACAACAAATGCTCACAATATTGTTTTGACATATTCAATCATTTGTATAAACTGTATATTTAAAAAGTGCAGTACTCTTACTTCTAGGTTAGGGTGAGGGCCAGGGGCCAGGTTTTGTCTAGAGATAAAGTAACGAGAAGAAGAATCACAGGCTGCTCTTTTCTTAACCATCAATCAAGGCGAAGAGTACACTTTGTCTTGAGGACATAATTTGTCTTGTGAGTGCTGGTGATAGAATCAATGTTTTCTCACCAGGGTACTTGGAAGGAAACAGGCCAGGCCATAATATGGTGGCACCAAGAGCCCGAGCCATAGATTATGGTCATGTATTATTCAGTGGTCAATCGGGAATGTGTATACCAGTGTCACTGGACTCCTTGGCAACACATTATAATTGAGAAGCGCTGCACTAAGAATTGAATTATAGATTATCACGGAAGAATCCTTAACATATTCTGACCATGCGAAGTATGCTGTTCATTTAATTTCACATTCATTTTCCGCTAACCTCCGTCTCCTCTCCCTGATAGGCATTATTTTCTCAGAGGAAATTTTGTCTCAGGGATTAAAAACCCCCCACAGAAGTTAATGAAAAAATGTTTTTCAGTTAGTTGTGCCTGCCGCTGCGTTCTCAAAGTGATCTTACTTTTTCCTAGGGACTCTTGAAGGATGCCATATATTCCATTGTTTCATGGTTTTAAAAAGTATGTTTACGTACAAAGACTCTGCTTCTGTATTCTTGTCACACCTGATATTCTGGAGGTAGTTGGGACATCCCACAATTTTAAGAGGGTCACAAATGTTGAGTTTTCTTATGAACAACTGGCAGAAAATAATTGAGACTAGAAATGAACACCTCGGGTCTATAGAAGACTAACATTTACATACTATATTACGTCATGGTAGCCTTTTGCGTCGGCTCGCAAGCTTGATCTGACTGAATATCAAAGAAGGCTCGCCGTTTTAGGAAGTTTTCATCGACTTAAAGGCTTTTCTGGGACTAATAGAGCTAGATCTAGATTTATGAATCTCCCCGCGTACTATTTAGCCATTAAGCAACCCACTTCCCGAGATCGAGGCCAAACTGGACAGCCCGCCCAGACTACAGAACTCGGAAATTCATTTCTTGAAACATCATGGCGGTAAAGTGTTATTTACGCTGAACACACTCCAGTGTCAACAGAGGTGAATTGCAGAGAGGGAAAGAGGGGGGGGGGTAGAGAGGTAAATAGAGAGAAAGAGGGTGAGGGAAAGAGAGGGGCAGAGATAATGAAAAATTGCTAGACAGACAGATAGCCAGACAGACAGACAGATAACGAGAGAGAGAAAGAGAGAAAGAAAGAGAGGAAATGTAAAATAATAGCAGGAGACGTGGATTTTGAGAAATCAAGAAATGCTGCAGTTAAATCTGGATCAAATATCTGCATCTGGCATCAAAAGAGAATTATCAAAGAGCTACAATTCCTACAATAAACAGTTTTCTTTTCTCTTATGCGGCTCAATATTCAATTTGCTTTGGGTAAGGGTAGGGTGCCTCAATTACAGCCTAGCAAACATCCACAGACAAACACGACTACACATTGAAAGCATTCCATAGCGTGCCATCTCACCTTTTTCTTGGCCTTTCTAAGCCTTGCAGGCTTATGATACTGAAAAGTATCAACCGTCATAATTTTCAACTTGTACAATTGTGAGAGCTTCTTAAGATATTTTTCTTATTTCACTCAGAGCCTTACGAAGAAAAGGCAAAAGGACAGGCGTATCTACTGTGACTGTGACTGCTAATGGGTCATTAGAACAACTATTAAAAATAGTGTTACAACTGGGGAACCAGGCATTGTCAACGACTGGGTGTCTTTACGCTCTGCAAAGATTTTCCCATACCTCTCGCTGCCTGCCTGTCTGTGGAATTATTCACATGAAGATTAATTGTCCTTTACTGGGATGTTATCGAACTCCCACCTCCATCCTGTTTCACACACATAGACAAACACATACTTACATAAAAACACACTAACATATACACATACAAACACACGTACATACATGCACATACAAACACACACAAACATACTCACAAACACACACTCTCACACACATACACACACACAAACATACATACACACATACATGCTTAAACACACATACACACATTCGCACACATACTATTGTGATCGTGTGTTCTTCCTTTGTGAATCTATTCTCACTTCAACCATTGCCATCTTCCTCGACTCACAGAGAATATACACAGCCTTAGCCCAACCCTTTGTCACTAAAAAAGGAAAGTACAACTCACCTCATTCGGTGAGCCTTCTGGGCCTCCAGCACGTGCAACTCCTTGTGGGTGTGTCCAGTGAGCTGGGGATGGGGGTGGACCGTGCCCACACGGACGTTCTGGAAATTCAGAGGAAAAAAAGAAATGACCATAGGTCAGGAAGACCAGAAACAAAATGGCAGGACAACATCAGAGAGCAGATGGGTACAACCTGGACTCAGAAAACAGCCTAGAAAACAGTGTGGAAGTAGTTGTGGAGGGCTACATCCTGCACTGGACGAATAATGCCTCGAAAGAAAAAAAAATAAGAAAGAAAGAAAGAAAGAAAGAAAGAAAGAAAGAAAGAAAGAAAGAAAGAAAGAAAGAAAGAAAGAAAGAAAGAAAGAAAAAGAAAGAAACCCACACACAAATATAAAAAAACAAAGACAGGTCAGCATAGAATATAAAAGAATCTGTGTGTTCCGACAGCGGTTCTTGTTTCAAGACAATTACATTTCACTATCAATAATCATCATTGATCGAAAAAATACCCGTACCATCCTCCTCCCTGAAACACACACACACACACACA